TAATGCTTTCTAGCAAGTATCAACCCCGGGGTTCAACCCCAGTATGGCGAGAAGCTGATCAGGGGAATAAAACAGGAGAAACTATGCAGAAGAAAGATGGCCCTGTGGTGACAGAGACAGGAGTAGAAAGTCAAGGATGGCAGGCCACCACCAGAAGCCAGGAAGGCCCCAGAATGATGGCAGAGGCGTGGATCTTGGCTCTCTCAACATCTTGATCTCAGATCTCCAGCCTCTAGGCTGGGAGACAGAAGGCTTGTTTAAACCAATTAGTTTTCAGACTTTGCTATGGCAGCCATAGGAACTAACCACAACCTGTGTCTTATAGACCAGGGAAACGTCACAGAGAATATGAGTCAGTCATTCCAACCTGCCCAGCTGGTCTACAAAGGGGGCTTGATGTGAGCTGTAGGCATCTAGCTCCTTTCTGAAGAATACATATGCTTAGAAAGCGTGAGAAATATTGCTGCCGATATCCAAGTAAATGGTCTCAGGTAGCTACCCAAGCCTCTGAACCCTCCATCTTAACCTCAACCTCCGCCCAAGGGCACACCACAGCATCTTCTGAATGGGGACATTCTGGCACAGGCATGGTTGGACGAGGGCAGCGTGCTCAGCAGAACTGGGGAGTGCAATTGCCCGGATCTGGGGCCAGCCAGGACTCCCTCTTGTCCTTCCTGGAAGAGCTGAGTGTGAACAGACCTGGAGTGGGGTGTGAACTTACTATAGCCTTTCAATTTTGAGCTACAGTCCCGAAATGTGAGTTGTTTAATTAAAAGGGGGGGGGGAACCAAGAGAGGGTCAGGTTAAGTACAAGAAAGCCGAAGCGGCTTTCAGGGACTGTGTTTGCACACATTCCTTCTGAGCTAAGATATCCCCCAAATGAAAATGTTTTCTGAGCAGAGTGATATCGCTTAGCTAATGTCGGCAGAGGAAGTGGGTGTAAGTAATGGAGAGGAGAAGACTCGGCACTCGTCCCAGGGCTCACGGGGGTCTGAGCATCTCCTTCTTGAGTGCTCTCCTGGAAGATACAATCCTAAACGCAACCCACATAGACAGAAGGCAGGCAAAGATGCCGGAAGTGGGCTAGCAAAGTCAAAACAGACTTTGGTTAAACCGAGGGGAATTGGGAACCGTGTCTAGGCCGATGTAGGCACTGGGGGTGTTTTTGTTCTACCTTCAGAGAAGATCATGGCACGTTGGATCTCCCAGGTTTGTGTCTTGTCCTGTGACAATCTAGATGGCTGGAAGGGAGCCTCGTGTAGTCTTAATCTCCAGCAGTCCTAGGTGCAAGGATATTCAGGAAGCTTTCAATGTCCTGTTCGCTCATTTCCTGGGTGTATGAAACGTGCTGTCACACTCTGTGCTGCGGACACACAGTATATGTACGACACGGCTGATGTACAGAGGGAGGGGATTTTACTTGGCTCACAAGCTGAGGGCCACGAACTACCAACAGCATGGTTGGGCATCTGGAGTGGAGTTTCGTGGCTGTATCATAACATGGTCACCAAGAGCAGGAAGGGAAGTCCCTGTCTTCAGAAGGAGCACGTGCGTAGGTAAGGAAACAAGGGTTTGATGAAGGGCCTGGCCAGAAAGATCTGTTAGGGGCCACTTCTGCTGGGCTTGGTCCATTCCTCAGGGATAGTCCGTTCCTGACTGTGGAATTCTGAGACCTAACTAGCTTGTACTCCCTAAGGGCTCCACTGGCCCTTTTTCATGCCACTCAGGTGACTGAGCTTCCAGTAATGCAGTTTGAAGACATCCTCACACCACGTGCAAACCATAACTTACAGGTTTTGTAATCCCAAGTAGTATCAGATAGAAAGAAACTAAGAGACAGAGATGGAGCCATAGCTGTTGGCTCTTAGAACCACGGCAATTCTTGGGTAGAGCAAGTAGACCCTAACATCTAGGACACAAAATATGGAATGTCACAGGAGACAAATGGTTAACCTCTGCTTAATGTGAGGGTCAAAGGGCCTTACAGCCAACAGTTAATGTATCCCGGGCTGGCCTCAAACTACCTCGTGGCCCTCCTGCCTCTGCTTCCTTTAGCAAATGGTACCCGCATGGGTCACCACAACCGACTTAGCCAACAGTTAAAAAGTATTAGGTTTTGAGATAAGGGACAGAAAGATTAACTTCCTTCATTGTAAACTTCTCAAACAGTAGACCCTGGTCAGCACGGATCTCCACAAACTGGCGACAACCGGTTTTATTTCCTAATTCTAAATATTTAAACAGAATATCTCAGTCCTAACATTTGAACTCCTTCTAGAACAAAGACCCAGAGGCATCAGCAGGCTTCCGTTGCAAACAGGGCAGACACACCCTGGCTTTCCATACTTGCTCAGAAGGTTTAAATATATCACTATTTAACCTTTATTTTTTCCTCCTTTGCTGTTTAAGAACTGGACCCTGAGATAGCGGATTCCACAGTAGAATTCCAGAGATAAGCAGTCAAGTCGTGGACTCACCTGAACGTGTATTCTGGGGTCTGCGCACTGATCTCCAAGGTGAAAATGACCATCGCTAAGGTGATGGCCCTGCCTGGAGACATGCCGCTCCTCCTAGGCAGCTCTGGGGTCTTGTGAAGCATGGCTTTGCCACCAGAGGACAGGGAACAATTCTTGCTGGTATATGTTCAGGGTTTTATTTGTACGTGTCCTGTATTTGTATTTGTGCTGCCTAGGTGAAAGTCCAACCAATGGAGAGTCATTTATTGTAATTCCTGACTGCTATTTTTCCCCTTATTGACAGGTGCCATTGTGCAATAAACCAAAAAAAAAAAAAAAAAAAAAAAAAAGGCTAGAGAGGTTAAAAACTAGGAGCAGTAAAAATAAAAGTAATCAAACAAACAAAATCCTAGCAGTTCTTTCCTTGGGAGATTCTGGAAGGAAAGTTGAAGAGAGAGGTATAATTTGCCGGAGAGGCCTGTGGATTATTCTCCTAAGAAGCCTAAGCTACAGGAATGACATCGTGAAAGACAAGGCTCTGAAAGGGACACTCTCACCACCCCTCCCTCTGAAATCCTGATGTGCGGCTGGCTCCCACACAAGCCAGGTGAAGTGTGGAAATGGAAGCTCTTTTGTAAACTTCACACGTCTCTGTCTCTTTCTTAGATGTGTAATAGATTCTTCTGAAAACTGCAGTGTGAGCGCCACAAGACTTTAGCAATCGCCCCTAAAAGGATTGGGCTTGGTTTTAATGGAAGGACATGCTAAAAGAATAGAATTTTCCTCTGCCGTAAAAAAAAAAAAGAATCTCCACATTTCCCAGAGTTACAGAGAGGGAGAGGTTCTGGAAGAACAGAAGAATGTGGGTCAGGCAAGCTCTCTGAGAACGCAGGTTGCACAAGAGAATGACCTGGGATGTTGCAAACGTGGAAGTCTGCTACTCCCTATCTTACTCAGATGGGGCCTCTCAAATCATTTTAGTGAGTTCTGGGACTGAGAATACACAATCTGAGGAGCAAGAGAGAATGTAAGGGAGTTTTGTGGGCCATGTTTCGTGACTTGAAAATGTCAGGAGCAGGACACCATTCTTATCTTTTGTTTTGTTTTGTTTGTTTGGGACAGGGTCTGCCAGGGCAGCCCAGGCTGGCCTAGAACTCCCTGCAGTTCTTTTGGCTCCACCCAAGCGCTGGAATTACAGGCACGAGCCCGTACCCAGCTGTTCCTAACAAGTTTGTTTTGTTTGAGACAGATTTGACCTAAACCCTCTCACTCCGCAGCTGAGGATGACTTTGAACTCCTGATCCATCTGCATCCCTTTCCCAAGGACTGAGATTGCAGACACACACTACTATGCATGGCTCTCTGACACAATTTATTTTTTATTTTTCAAGACAGGGTTTCTCTGTGTAGCCCCCATAATCAGGTTGATCTCCAGCTCACTGAGATCCGCCTCCCTCTACCTCCGGAGGACTGGGATTAAAGGCCTGCAGCGCCACACCTGGCTGACACAATTCTTCAGAGACATTCATAGATAATTATTAGTGACAAAAGAGAAAATCTCAAGCATTGGCGTCTGCAGAGGTAAAACAGGCATCTGACTGCGGGGATGACAGGTCACAGAGCTAGCAATCTTACCTGTGCCACAGAGAGTACAGGGATGTCATCACCTTTTCCTGGCTCTTTTCCTTTTCACATTCAGAGCCTGAGAACTAACTGAACTAATTTTACCCCTCTTGAGAGCTTACTGTGGAAACCATGTGCCTGCCCGACACGTAGGCCATGCGAAATTTGTCAGGCTATAAGCTGATTCTTACAGGTGCCGTGCTTGTAGCTAAGTCAGTAAGTGGGTCATTTCCCATGAGCCTTAGCTAATGATGCCAGATCTATCAGCTATGTTACAGTGCAGAGTAGACTCTTGAATGATCTCTTGGACCCTCTCAGGATGTCTGTGGAACTAAGAATGGAAGTAAATTAGCATAGGATGCTTTTTTATGTTAATAAGATCATGCTAGTTGATTAGATCGTGAGTCTTAAATTTGGTAAGCTGTTGTGACTAAATACTGCAAAATCACCTCTTTCTGGAAGATTGGGGTAAAGGGCAAAAGGAGTTCTTGGTTGATTAGTTTGAACGGGAGGATATTCCAGATTGCTACTTGATTTTATCATTGGGTTATACAATATAGCGATATGATGGGAATAGTAAATTATAATAACAACCTAAAAACTGATGTATACGATATAATGTGTACACTCTATGAATAACGTAGTTTTTATTTTTACCATGCCTTTAGCTCTTCCTGGCTCCTGACATCTATTAGCCTCTGACACACTTTGAAGTGAAACTTGTGCCCTGTGTGTATCTTAGAGAAAGGGACAGTTAGAATGAGTTTAACTGGAGGAGCAAAAATAATATAACGGCCACCAGAGATGAAAATGGGAACTTTTTAACATGCCAAGTTATCTACATATGCAAATGAATTTAATTCTCAATAGCTCCATCACAGATTTGGAGAAAGGCTGGCTACTCTCATCCAGTCTATTCCTCAATAGGTCAGGTGGTAGTGGTGTACTCCTTTAATCCCCGCACTCAGGAGGCAGAGGCAGGTGGATCTCATTGAGTTCAAGGCCAGCTTGGTCTACAAGAGGACAGGCTCCAAAGCAACAGAGAAATCCTGTCTAAAAAAGCCAAAAAAAAACCCCCAAAAACAAAAAAACAAAAATACCCACCAACATCAAACTAAAATAATAGCTGAAGTCAACCATTGTATATATCAGTGACTGAAGAAAGTACTGATATAAACCTATACAAACAGCACCACAGTCATGAAGGCTTTTAGAATTGGATTTTTTTTATTTTTTTAGTTTTTTTCCTTTTAACTATTGCAGTTGTCTTTGGTTACCAAGAAACCCACATTGTGTCTCTGTAAAGCCCAGCACTGCTGTGGCTTCAATAGAAGGTAAAAGTTTGTAATTCGGCATGTAACTCCCGTACAGCAAGGACAAACAGGCTGGGGTACTCAGGAGGTGAGATGACAAGCGGCTGGCCCTGGTCCATCAGCATCACTGTAATTAGGACATGTTAACAGACCTGTAGCTTTCTTCATAGCCGTGTGTGTCAGCTAAACTTAGAACAGGGGTTCTAGTTATTTTTTTTAGCAGAAAAGGATTAGCTAAAAACATGCCATTTCCCGGAAAGCGTCAGGTGTTTCGTTGTTGAGCAATCTCTTAAAATGGTGATAGCTTAAATATTTACCAGGAACTTTGGGGAACTCCCACCTTTCAGTAAAAGACTTTGTTTTGAATCTAATCCAGGCATCTGGGTCAGAGGCATCACTCAGCAGGGAGTTCCAAGGAGAACCACATTTCTGAGTTCCAGTGTCCTGTTCTTTCCCGCCTAGCTTTCAGCACAGGAAGACATAGCAAGCAGTGCTGCCTGATTTGATGCAGGAGTCTGACACGGTGGGAGAGGAGTGCCTCCTACAACGGTTTTGCCACAAAATGCCTATTAGAAAAACTCCCTACCCTCTAGAGCAACTTCAGTCATTTTAAAACCTGGATGTCAGTTTCATAGGAGCTGTAATGGTTGCAGATTTAACTCGTTGGATTATGTATCAGCTGAATGGAATTTTTTTTCATGATGAGCATAGCACTTCCCCAATGAGTGGTTATTATAATAAAAATCAGTATTTTCTCCCTTTGTGGGTTTGTGTGTGTGTGTGTGTATGTGTGTGTGTGTGTGTGTAAGAAATCATAGGGTGTCCTAGCTGTTAACATCCAATCTTTTCTCAGGCACATTGAGTGCTTAAACGAAGCTCTAGGATTACAAGAAAATATCACATTTGGGATAGATCTGAATGTCATTTCTACTAAAGCGTGTATGGAATAGATTTATTCTCATTGTCAGGGCTACTTCAGTAATCCCTTTTTTTCCAACAGCGGTTCTTACCACACTATCTGAATGTCTCCTTGTACGTGAGCAATGCTTAACCTCAGTGTGTGCTTACACATCAAGGTACACCAAAGACAGTGTGTTCAGAGCATTAAACACACAGCAGAACCCCAGATAAACCAGATGACCTGTGGTGTGTGTTAATATTTAGGTGTCTGGACTGGACCGCCGTCAGCTCACCCTCATCTGGGCTCACCTCCAGCCTGTGTGTCTCCACATTCCACCTCACGGTTGTCAGAAGGACACCAACTGTTTTCCATAAAGGGGGGAAGAAGGCAGAAGATCCGAACATCCCATAATAGAACATGTGCACTATAAAATGGTTCCTCCCTAGAATCCTATTCTTAGAATTCTTAGGTTCAAAACCCAGTCTTTTGTATTTCCCAGAGCCCAATTTAGGATTTGTTCCAGGTCTTTGTTGAAATGAGATCCCTGAACTTGAACCAGGGCACCATGACTGAGTGTCCTCAACTGAGCACTGGCCTGCCAGCCTGACACCGCCGGTCTTCGACATGGCTAGCACCCACCCAAGACGAACCCCAACACGTGTTTTGGTGGGGTCAAACATGACCAAGTAACAGAGAAGCAAAGGCCAAAAGGAATGGCCTGACACTGTCCAATGAATATCACGTGATCTGTAGCAACACCAACTCCACTAAATCCACAGGAAGGAGATGCATATGGATGTGAGCAGGAATAAGACACTGAAAGAGACTGGATAATTTGCTTGTGTTTCCACATCATGGATTTACACTCTCATCATGGTGAAAACCCGAAACGTGCACAACCAGCAGCTTTCCACCTTCTAGCTGGTGAGCTTTATACCTTGATGACAGTCGATCTAAAGCAGGGGTCAAATATTAGAAGGAGCTAACAGCAACATGAGATTTTTGTGATTCCAGTTTATTGGATAAGTAAATTCATAGCTTTATTTGCATACAGAAAAGTGCACAAGAAGACAGGTACATACAAAACAGTTGTGTGGCTGATCATCATTTTCAAAAATTCGGCCATTTAGAAATAGTTACCTCCAGTTTAGCACATCTTTATGTATTTGGAATTTTAAAGTATGATTTCAAGTCTCTGTTTATAATAACTGAATAGGAAGTTAGACAGAAAAAAAAACCCATATGTGGTAGATAAGTAACGATTAGCATTAAACAGAAACCCAGAGGACTTCTTCAGCTTGGATTACTTGAGGCTAATCAACAAAGGCTCACAAGACCAGCTTCTTGCTTAAAT